TCTACTGTAAAATTGTCAGTGTTTTTCCGGAAAAACTATGCTGCTCCCGTTCAGGCAAAAGTCCTTTTCCGGAAAAACTGTTCTGGAAAAGGGCCAGTGTAGACAGCACAGTAGTCTTTTCCGCAAAAAAGCCCCGATCGCGAAAATGACGATCGGGGCTTTTTTGCAGAAAAGCGCGTCTACATTGGCCATGGACTCTTTTCTGGAAAAAAGTGCTTTTCCGGGAAAGCATCCTGCCAATGTAGACGCGCTTTTTCCAGAAATACTTATAACGGAAAACTGTTCCGTTTTAAGCATTTCCGGAAAAGGGTGCCAGTGTAGACGTAGCCCCATAGAAACACAATGGAAAAGCCAAATCTGGCCAGGTCAGTGCTATGCTAGAGACCCAACCCAGGCAGAGAAGGATTGTTCATTTTAAAAATCCTGGGTTTTGGCAATATAGAAGAGTAGCATTGTCAGAAGGAAGAGTACTATTGAAAAGTATCATGTATGTAGCCTATATCAAAATCTATGACATTAACACATATAAATAGAAGTATAACAAGTGAGCAGAAAACTCAACATTTATCTATGCAATACATAAAATAATAGAAGAGTAAAGTGTGTCATTCTGTGTTGACAGGATGGGGAAATATTGACAGAAAGGATTTTTAATATGTTTTCAATTACAAAAGTGTTTTCCAAAGTATCTTGGTGCCTTCCCCTTTGCAAATCTCCCCCCCCCCCATCCAAGATCTACCCAAGCACCTACAGTGCTGGGTAGAGAAGAAAAACAACAGCTGGCAAAAGCCACCCCCATTGAAGGATAAAAGGCAACTGAAGAAGTTTTGACACCATCCCAGGAAATCTGTCAACCTGGACATCACATGGACCCAGAGAACACAAATCTGAAGCTGCGATACAGGCAGGCAGGGCTAGATTAGAAACACTGGGCCAGGGGACCGCTGAAACTGCCAGCTACAGAGTGTGTTGAATGATTTCTTGGTATTAAAATTACACACACAGGCTGTAATTCCGGAAAATCATGCCAGTCTAGATGTAGCCACACAGTCTGCCCTGATTTTGCCCTTTGGCACCTCTCCTGGCCCTGCCACCAGTTGTGTGACATGCCCTCCACCCATGAGATTGGCTTGGCTCCTGCCCAGACTTCCCTCCCCCCCCTGTCCCTGCACTCTCCCTCCTGCCCAGAGCCTGCATCACCAGCCCACTCCGAAGCAGAACACTCCAAATGGGCAGAGCAACCCAGGTTTGCAGGGAGCTACTCTGGCCTCACCCCACAGCTGCTGGTGCCTGCCCAACCCTGTCCTGCTTTTTCCCCAGGGGCACGCCCCCCCACCTGTAGGCTGTGGCTCTGGGGCTGGGTGGGCAGCTTGTTTTCTGGCGATCCCAATGAGGTGCTGTCAGTAAATGAGGGACAGAACAGGAGCTGGAGGAGACTGATCATGGAAAAGCAACGAGCCCCAGGCAGACACAGCTCCGAGCTCTGGGGGAAAATACCGAATGAGGGTGTTAGCTGCCAGCAGAAATACACGGGCTTTTACAGCAGCGACTCTGCTGGGGACCTGGAGGGCCCAGCGCTAATGCTGTAGAATATAGAACAACGCGCCGACCCGCCAGCTTCCCCGCAGCGCCTGCAGACGGGCTGCTGTGCTCACTCGTGAGCTGGGGGAGCGAGTCGAAGAAGCGGGGAGCGAAGGAAAG